TGGGGGTGATGAGGGGCGAGGTGAGGGGCGGGGTGGTGGGGGTGATTTAAGGGCAGCGGGGATCCCTCACCGTCAGTCGCGGCGCGGCCGCCACGACGGGAGGTGTGTGCGTGTCGGCGCTCTCTGTGTTAGCACGCGTATTGTTCGCGTGTCATCTCGCTCGTAATTTATTTATGGGAACGATAATACGATCGCAATATAGCATTTATGTGTCACCATGCTAAGGTAATACCAAACTATATTAATACAATACTATGTTAATACATTATGGTAATACCATGCTATATTAATACAATACTATATCAATACACTATGGTAATACCATGCTATATTAATACAATACTATATTAATACACCATGGTAATACCATGCTATATTAATACAATACTGTGTTAATAGGTACACTATGGTAATACCATGCTATATTAATACAATACTATGCTAATACACAATGGTAATACCATGCATATTATTACAATACTGTGCTAATAGGTACACTATGGTAATACCATGCTACGGTAATACCCTGCCATGATATTACCATACCATATATATACCTGAAAATACCATAAAAATATGATTAAAAATACCATAAAATTCCATAAAAATACTATCAATACCTGGAACCTCTGGAACTTCCAGACTTGTTGCGACATAGCGTTGATGGCGTTGAATATGTTGTTGAATACGGCGATGAGTAAGTTGATCATGAGTATGTTGGCAACGAGTAGATAAATACTCATGGCTATAGGGGTGATCCAGCGGCCGGGGTGACAGGGTATCTCCCCATCCACCCCACAGTCGGGGTCTATGTCACCCGCGAACACCTCCCCGTACAGCATGAAGTACGGCTGCGGGGGGGGATTTATTGTAATTAATAATAATATTTAGTATATAGTCTATAAGTAAATACATACAATAAATAAGTATTCCCCGTACAGCATGAAGTACGGCTGGGGGATGTATTGTTATTAATTATTATATTTAGTATATAGTTTATAAATAAATCCCTGTACAGCATGAAGTACGGCTGGGGGGAATTATTTATTGTAATTAATAATAATATTTAGTATATAGTTAGTTTATAAATAAATCCCTACACAGCATGAAGTATGGCTGCGGGGAATTATTTATTGTGATTAATAATAATATTTAGTATATAGTCTATAAATAAATCCCAGTACAGCATGAAGTATGGCTGAGGGGGGATTTATTGTGATTAATTATTATATTTAGTATATGTTCTATTAATAAATACATACAATAAATAACTAACAATAACATTGTAATAAATAATTATCTTAGGTATATAAGCTTTAAATAAATCACCGTACAGCATGAAGTATGGCTAAGGGAGAATTATTTATTTTGATAAATTATTAAATTTAGTATATGTAATATATATAATATTGGCTGGGGGGGAATGATGTTTTGTAATAAATTATTATACTTAGTATATAGTCTAGAAATAAATACTTTCAATAAATCATAATATTTAGCATATAGTCTATATATAAATACATACAATAAATAATCAATAATAAGATCTCTATGCAGTACGGAAGTAGAGAGTTAGTAAATGGATTTATCATATATAAAAAAACATATAAAAAAGTAATAATAATATTTATTAAATTGTCTATAAATTAATAAGGTATCATTCAAGATTTCTAATGATATTCATTATATTGTCTATTATTTAATAACGTATCATAGAAATTTAATAATAATATTTAAATAACAGTCCACCTCCCACCACCCCCCGCCACCTGAAAGAATACATGTCACCCCACCACCACCACCATACACCACCTCCCCCGCCACCTGGACGAATATATGTCGCGCCAGCCGCCAGTTGGGGTCCTCGTCAGGACTCAGGATGCTCCCCACCACCCCCCACCACCACCCACCTGTCTCTTATACACATCTAGATGTGTATAAGAGACAGATCCTAGATACTTGTGTGATGCTAGGATCTCTAGGATCTTCAGGTACCTGCACATCATTACGAGGGGTCCTAGATACTTGTGTGATGATAGGATCTCTAGGATCTTCAGGTACCTGCACACATCATTACATCATCATTACGAGGGGTCCTAGATACTTGTGTGATGATAGGATCTCTAGGATCTTCAGGTACCTGCACATCATTATAATCATTATCGTTAGAATAAAAAAAAAACAAATCATAATGAAAATCATGAAAATAAATGGTTTACCGCCAGGTATGGATAAGACTTAACTAAAATGGTCTGATTTAATTAAGAAAATGTTAACGGATTATAATATAATTATTCTTATATGACATTGAAGAGATTAAATCGATGGTTATATACAATAAATGTTGTCCTAAATAGAATATATAAGTAGACTAATTCAAATAAGGTAGATATTACTGCAGTAGATGTAGCAGTAGACTCACCAGTACATAATATTACTGCAGTAGATGTAGCAGTAGACTCACCAGTACATAATATTACTGCAGTAGATAACTCTACCAGCACTGCGGGTAGACGGCTGTAGACGCAGTGCCAGCGCTGCCAGGAACATGGCACCACAGATGCTGTCCCACACGTTCCAGCTGTTGTCCGCCCACACCTCCAGCTTCTGCCTGCCCCATTAATTATGATTAATATTATTTAATTAATCATGATTAATGTTATTTAATTTATTATGATTAGTGGGTCATGCTGTCTGCCCACACCTCCAGCTTCTGCCTGCGTTATATTAATTAATTAATTAATATTATTTAATTAATTAAGATTAGTGGGTGACATTGTCTGCCCACACCTCCAGTTTCTGCCTGGGGTGTTTCAATTTATTAAATAACATTAATTAATATCAGTGGGTCATATTAATAAATTAATCAATGTTCATTATTATTAATTATTATTAATTAATATTAGTGGGTCATATTGGCCCTCTCCCCTCGCCAACTCCTCCACCTTTTTATGGAATGAATTTAAAAAGCTATGAATACTAATTCTATTTTAGTCACGGCAGGACTGATACTCGTGAAATTATGACATACTTTTTATGTCTTTAAAATAAATAAATTTCTAAGTTTAGTAGAACTTTCGAGTTGAATTAAAAAAAATTAATATGTCCGAAAGTAGATCGCGGAAACAAGTCCTAATGTGTTTACCAACAGACCTAGTTAGCTATTGAGTCCTCGGTGTCACTGATACCGCATATAGACACGTGATAGATCACGTGATCAAGACTTAAGTTGTGGGCGGAAGCGAAGGCTATACAAGGTCTAGCAACCTTAACACGTTGACTACGTATTGGTACATATGAGTACCAATACGTAGATACCGATAGACACGTGATAGATCACGCGATCAAGACTTAAGTTGTGGGCGGAAGCGAAGGCTATACAAGGTCTAGCAACCTTAACACGTTGACTACGTATTGGTACATATGCGTACCACGAAATGTATTTCTCCAGGACGTAGTGGTATACATAATTCAGGTTGCCTAAAATTGCCAAATCCGAGAACAAAAAAGGTCAAAAAAGGCCGATAAGTCAAAATATACTAGTCTATTTGTAGGTTCCACTATAAAAATTCTATTCATTTTCTTTTTTGCAGTATTTAAAATTTAATTAGGAAGTACCCCTATCATAAATTTTAGCCGGCCAACGCAATTGAGAAAAACTAAATCACGGAATTTGTCCGGAAAAAATGACCGTCTGGCAAGCCTGTTTAAAAACAGTACAAAAAATGAAATAATAGTACAAGATGAAGCAATCGTAGTCAAAGTGTTGAACAAACCCCCCAGTAGCTGTTAGCGCTCCGCGATGTAGCGTGTAGCTTGAGTTCTCCGACCTTACGGTCGATGCCGTAGCTTATTCCTCTGTATCGCAACTCTGTATTACCACCCCGTATACAAGATACGTTATCTGGACTGCTCTGTATTACCACCCCGTATACAAGATACGTTATCAGGACTGCTCTGTATTACCACCCCGTATACAAGATACGTTATCAGGACTGCTCTGTATTACCACCCCGTATGCAAGATACGTTATCTGGACTTGTGTGTCTTACTTATCCCTCACTTCCTTAGTCAACGTAACCCGATCCTCAGGTAGAGCTTAATATAATGAGCTCAATATCATAGTTGGTAATAATTTACAATCTGTGACATTATTGTTACTATAACTCCTGCTTGTGGGTACAATAGTGACGTTATTATTACAATGTGTACGTTTTATGTACAATAGTATGGCTATTGTATACAACAGTAGGACTAATGTGTACTATATTAAGACTTTGTGTACAATACTACGGCTATTGTGTACAACAGTAATGCTATTCTGTACAATAGGTACGTTATTGTTGATATTGTCGTCATGGCGTGTTAACAATAATTTTCTTGTCTATGATTGGTGGATTTTGCTTGAAAGGCCGTCAATGATTGGCTGATGAACTAACGATCTCTTAACTTTTTTTGAAAGTATGGGCTCCGATCCTCAGGTAGAGCTTAATATAATGAGTTCAATGTCTTGAGTGCAACCTCGGACATATTTCTAATAAATTAATTAATTATGTCATATATTGCTATATATAATAATTAATAAATTAAATTAATATGTCATATTTTGCAATATATAATTAATAAATTAAATTAACATGTCATATATTGCAATATATAATAATGAATAAATTAAATTAATATGTTGTATATTGCTATATATAATAATTAATAAATTAAAATTAATATGTCATATATTGCTATATATAATATAAGTTATTAATAAATATATTATTAAGCATGAACTTACTTGAGTTTCTTGGGTTCCTTGGCCATAACCTGGCGCACCTTCTCGACCATGAGCGTACATATGTACGATATTACATAGTACTCCGTCCAGTGGGGGGTGGGGGGCAGGCGTACTAGTACAACGTACGTGTAGAAGCACAGGAACACTATGTACGCCATCTGTACACAGACATGTGTACTATTAAGAACACTATGTACGCCATCTGTACACGGAGACATGTGTACTATTAAGAACACTATGTACGCCATCTGTACATGGAGACATGTGTACTATTTAGAACACTATGTACGCCATCTGTACATGGAGACATGTGTACTATTAAGAACACTATGTACGCCATCTGTACATGGAGACATGTGTACTATTTAGAACACTATGTACGCCATCTGTACATGGAGACATGTGTACTATTAAGAATTACACATACGAACATAGTTACTAAAACGGTAACTATGTACTCTATCTGTGCACAGAGTTGTAAATTATTGTAGGTCTTTTCGAAATTATAAAAATTATTTTAAATTATTGTAGTGGGCCCAGAACCCACCGAGTGGGCCCAGAACCCACCGAGTGGGCCCAGAACTTGGTTATGGCCCAGAACCCACCGAGTGGGCCCAGAACTTGGTTATGGCCCAGAACCCACCGAGTGGGCCCAGAACTTGGTTATGGCCCAGAACCCACCGAGTGGGCCCAGAACTTGGTTATGGCCCAGAACCCACCGAGTGGGCCCAGAACTTGGTTATGGCCCAGAACCCACAGAGTGGGCCCAGAACTTGGTTATGGCCCAGAACCCACAGAGTGGGCCCAGAACTTGGTTATGGCCCAGAACCCACAAAGTGGGCCCAGAACTTGGTTATGGCCCATAACCTACCGAGTGGGCCCAGAACTTGGTTATGCCAAGAACCCACCGAGTGGGCCCAGAACTTGGTTATGGCCCAGAACCCACAGAGTGGGCCCAGAACTTGGTTATGGCCATAAACCTACCGAGTGGGCCCAGAACTTGGTTATGCCCAGAACCCATCGAGTGGGCCCAGAACTTGGTTATGCCAAGAACCCATCGAGTGGGCCCAGAACTTGGTTATGACCCAGAACCCACCGAGTGGGCCCAGAACTTGGTGATGGGCGCGTTGTAGAACTCGTAGAACTTGATGCGGGCCGACAGTTCTTTGGCCCCCCGCTTGTCTGGCAGGGTGAGGTCCCCAGGGGGGATGGTGACCCCCGCAGAGGGGGGGACATCCCGACGCACCCCCACCATGGTGGAGCGGCGGCGGACCTGGGGGGCGGGGTGGCGGTCCTGGTGGGGAGGGTGGGAGGTGGTGGTGGAGTCGGTGTCATCGTTGCCGGGTGTGCTGAGGGGAAAAGAGTTCTGAGGGTAAAGAGGGTAAAGAGTTCTGAGGGTAAAGAGGGTAAAGAGTTCTGAGGGAAAGAGATAGTAAAGAGTTCTGAGGGTAAAGAGGGTAAAAAGGGTAAAGAGTTCTGAGGGGAAGAGAGGGTAAACTTGAGGGGAAAAGAGGGTGAACTTGAGGAAGAAAGAGGGAAAACTTGAGGGGGAAAAGAGGGTAAAGTTGAGGGAAAAAAGGGTAAAGTGGAGGGGGGAAAAGGGTCAAGTTGAGGGGAAAAGAGAGTAAAGTTGAGGGGAAAAGAAGGTAAAGTTGAGGGTAAAGTTGAGGGGAAAAGAGGGTGAAGTTGAGGGGGAAAGAGGGTAAAGTTGAGGGGGAAAGAGGTTAATTTTGAGGGGAAAGAGGGTAAAGTTGAGGGGAAAAGAAAGTAAAGTTGAGGGGAAAAGAGGGGAAAATTGAGGGGAAAGGAGCTTAAACTTGAAGGGAAAAGAGCCTAAACTTGAGGTGAAAAGAGAGTAACTTGAGGGGGAAAGAGGGTAAACTTGAATGGAAAAGAGGGTAAATTTGAGAGGAAAAGAGTGTACACTCGGGGGGAAAAGAGGATAAATTTGAGGAGAAAAGAGGATAAAATTAAGGGGAAAAGAGGATAAACTTGAAGGGAGAAGAGGATAAACTTGGGGGGGGGGGGNGGGGGGGGGGGGAAAGAGGATAAATTTGAGCGGAAAAGAGGATAAAATTGAGGGGAAAAGAGGATAAATTCGAGGGAAAAGGAGGATAAATTTGAGGGGAAAATAGGATAAACTTGAAAATAAAAGAGAGTAAACTTGAGGGGAAAAGAGGGTAAAATTGAGGGGAAAAGGGGATAAACTTGAAGGGAAAAGAGGATAAATTTGAGGGGAAAAGAGGATAAACTTGAGGTGAAAAGAGGATAAATTTGAGCAGAAAAGAGGATAAATTTGAGGGGAAAATAGGATAAACTTGAAAATAAAAGAGAGTAAACTTGAGGGGAAAAGAGGGTAAACGTGAGGGGAAAAGAGGGTAAAGTCACCCCTGCAGGTGTCCCCCAAACGTGACTCACCCATGCCCCCCGTTCTGGGAGTTGGGACCCCCAAACACACTCGAGGGGTCGGCGTCCGCGGGGATGAAGGGGAACAGGAAGGGGGGGTGACCACTCCCACCCCTCCTACCCCCCACCACCCCCGCGGGGGGCGGGGGGTGCTGTTGTTGTTGGGTGCTGTTTGTCTCAGGCTGTTTGCTGTTAGGCTGTTTGTTGTTAGGCTGTTGATTGCCTGGGTTCATAAGTGGCACCTGAAAAAATTATGTTGATATATTGCAGTTCATAAAAAAATTGTTGATATTGTGGTTCATAAAAAATGATGTTGATATTGTGGTTCATAAAAAATGATGTTGATATGCAGCACCTGAAAAAATTATGTTGATACTGCAGTTCATAAAAAATTATGTTGATATTGCGGTTTATAAAAAATTATGTTGATATTGCAGTTAATGAAAAAATTATGTTGATATTGCAGTTCATAAAAATATTATGTTAATATTGTGGTTCATAAAAATTCCATTGATTTTTGGATCATAAAAAAATTATGTTGATATTGCAGTTCATAAAAAATTGTTGATATTGTGGTTCATAAAAAATTATGTTGATATTGCAGTTAAGATGAAATAAAAATATGTTCATTTTGCATTTCAGAAAAATATTAAATTTTGCACAAGCAATTTCAAAAACATATTAAAATTGTAATCCAAGTAAATTTTGCACCAAATAAATATTAGAATTTGGTAAACACAGTTAATAGATAATTAATTTTTAAAAAAGATTATTTTATAACAGATAAATAGGAAATAATTCAAGAAAACTTTATCAAGAGGAATAACAGAGAATAGAGATGTAAAAATTGTTTACAAAAAAGCTGAAAATATTAAATTAATTAAATTAATTCAGAATGAGAACATAATTAATGCTGATAATATTTAATTATTATTTGAAGATTTTTGAGAGTTAAATATAAATAGGATAGATATTAGTAATGCAATAAATGAAAAATATATTATTATAAATAAATAAAATAGATATAAGTAAAACATAAATGAAATAGATACTGTTAATAAATAAATTGAATAGATATTAGTAATACACAAATGAAATAGATATAAGTAAAAAATAAATGAAATAGATATAAGTAATACATACGGTAAATGAAAAAGATATAAGTAATACATGTATGAAATAGATATAAAATGTATATAGATAAAAGAGAATGGTTCCTAGCTTACCATGCAGAAAAATTAAGAACCTACAAAAAAGGAACTACTAAAATTTGAATTAAATTAATTGATAATTAAAAAAATATAGGAGAAAAGCATTAATTATAAGCGAGACTGAATAAATATGAAGATAGTGACAATTATAGAGGCAATCATTAATAAAATCTTTCAAATTATAATCAAAATATATAGTAATTAAATTAATTGATCAATTAATCAAAGGAATTGGAATTAAAGGAATCTGATTAGTTTTTCATTCCAAGAAACAGAAATGAGGGAAGCAAATATTGAGAAAAAAATGAATTGCAGATACTGAAAATATAAAATATACCAGGAATGAGTTAGGGTATACCAGGAATATACCAGGCATGAGTTCAGGTATACCAGGAATATACCAGGCATGAGTTCAGGTATACCAGGAATATACCAGGCATGAGTTAAGGTATACCAGGAATATACCAGGCATGAGTTAAGGTATACCAGGAATATACCAGGAATGAGTTAAGGTATACCAGGAATATACCAGGAATGAGTTAAGGTATACCAGGAATATACCAGGAATGAGTTAAGGTATACCAGGAATATACCAGGATTAAGTTAAGGTATACCAGGAATATACCAGGAAAGAGTGAAGGTATACCAGGAATATACCAGCATGCCAGGAATCATACCTTAATGACGGTGGTGTGGAGGGGGGTGGAGGTGGTCACACACTGCACACAAACACAGCCAGTGTGAGCACCACACAAAACAGCACAACACAAACAACACACACAAACATCACACAAAAAAACACAACACACAAAAACCCAAAACATCGTCGCAAATACAGAAAAAAATCAAAACATCGCCAGGTATCCCGGTAACAATAGCATTATTGGCAAATCACAAAATTTTCCGTTAATTTTTTTTCACTCAAAATTGTTTTTCATGGTAAAAAATTTTTCACTGAATCATTTTTTAATTCGGTTTGAACTTAATAATTAATTAATTAATTACTTAATAATTAATTAACTAATATGTCTATAAATTATTTATTAGATGTATTAATAAATATTCGTCCTTTCTTTACACTTTATGCTAAAATAAAAATATTACTCGTCAGTGAAAAATTTGTCGATATCCACGAAAAATTGATTTTGAAACGCGATTAAAATAAAATAAAAATTTTCAATATGATAATAAATCTCACAATAACATCCTTGCGGTCAAAAAATATATTCCTCTTACTGCAAGTGAAATAAAGTGTTGTTATTGATGTAAATAATACACAATAACAGGTAATTAGTCCACAAGGTGATATGTAATAACCACACGGCCGTAACCGTAATACTTTGAAAAACAAAAGGAATTCATTTAAATCATGATTTTTTTATTATAAACTTCACAGTTTGAAAATTCCCCAGCACCGAGTCAAAGATAATCAAGAAAAATATACATGTCGTGCAGAAATCGCGGAATTGCCGATTCTATGGAATCGGCAGCCAGTTTGCCGAATCTGTAGAATCAGCATTTCTATACTATAGGAATCTGGGGTTAGATCAGTCAGCAAAGTTTTTTTTATAATATTTAAATATAAAGGATCTTGGCCAAAAATGTTCTAACTCTAACTGTCGATTTACGTTCTAACTCTGACGTTCGATTTTCTGAATCAGCAACGAAATACCGATTCTATAGAATAGGTAATTCCGCGATTTCAGCACCACATATATAAATGAATAATTATAAATCAAATGAATGATACACATTATTTAATGAATAACGTTATAGTAATAATTAGGAATGGGTGGGGGGAAACACAGGTAGGGGTGGGGGGGATTAATTATTAAAGGCTTAATCCATTATTAATGATTAGATTAAAATATTAATAATCAAACCCCATATGCTAATCGTACCTGGCCCCCCTCAACCCCCCCTTCTTGGGGGTGTGGGTTAGGCAAGTCATTCGTTACGTCGTTTTCCTACGAAATGTCGCCAGTTAATTAATAAGTAATCGTTTCAATTATTAAATATATAATTAATTAAATAATAAATAATTTCGTCAATTTTCGTTAATTAATTAATAAGTAATTGTTTCAATTATCAATTAATCAATAAATAATTTCGTCAGTTAATTAATAAGTAATCGTTTCAATTATCAAATATATAATTAATTAATTAATAATTTCGTCAATTAATTAATAAGTAATCGTTTCAATTATCAATTAATCAATAAATAATTTCGTCAGTTAATTAATAAGTATTCTGTTTCAATTATTAAATATATAATTAATTAAATAATAAATAATTTCGTCAGTTAATTAATAAGTAATCGTTTCAATTATCAATTAAGCAATAAATAATTTCGTCAGTTAATTAGTAATTATTCTGTTTCAATTATCATATATATAATTAATTAAATAATAAATAATTTCGTCAATTAATTAATAAGTAATCAATTTTGATTATCAATTAATATAATAAATAATAAATAATTTTATCAATTAATTAAGTATTCAATTAAGTATTCATTACTAATTATAATTATTAATGATTACTTATATGATAGGCCAATCCATATACCTAAATTAATATTTAATTATTATTTAATTAATTCAATGGTCACTGGCAGAAACTTGCGAATTCAAGCTTAATTACTGAAAAAAATTAGCGATTATAATTAACTATCAACTCCGTCCGTATTAATAAATATAATTTTGACAATTCGGTAACATCACAAATACGTGAAAATGGTACGAAATTTCGTGCTTAAAAATCAGACTTTTTCGTGAAATCGCGATAGTCTCTGTGACACCCAACAACACTGATAAAAATAAGTGTGACAAACAATAATATTATTTTGTGATACGTCTTCACCACGGATGCGGACACTTAACACTGATAAAAATAAGTGTGACAATTGGCGAGACGCCATACTTCTACATACAGTTTTTGTGTTATTCTACACTGATAAAAATAAGTGTTACAAAAAATAATATAATTCGACGAGATGCTCTGCCTGTGACTATAGATACACATCACTGAAAAAAATAAGTGTGACAAAAATAACATTATTTTGCGATATGCTCTTCCTCTATACGTATACACTCGACACTGATAAAAATAAGCGAGTCAATAGTCATGCCCTGACCATTTCGTTATCGATTCCTCATACACTCGACACTGATAGAAATAAGCGTGTCAATAGTCATGCCCTGACCATTTCGTTATCTATTCCTCATACACTCGACACTGATAAAAATAAGCGTGTCAAAATTAACATTATTTTGCGATATACTCATACTAGTACACTGGACACTGATAAAAATAAGCGTGTCAATAGTCATGCCCTGACCATTTCGTTGTCAATGCCGCCCTCAGACGAGGGTTTGCGTGCCCTCGTCCTACCCTCGCCCTCCCCGTCGCTGTCAGACGCTGTGTCGGAGTCGGGGTACCGCCCCCCGCCGCCCCCGGGGCCGAACTCCCCCCCAACATCCCACCGCTCCTCCCTAGGGGGATTATTAAAATTAAAAAATTATTTCATATAATGCACCAATATATATGTACAATCCTTCCTAGGGGGATTATTAAATTAAAAAATTATTTAATTAAATTATTTCATATAATGCACCAATATATACAATCCTCCATAGAGGGAGAGGTACACATTAATTGAGAGAAAATTATTTAATTTAATGCGCTGATATGTACAAAATTTATATACGGGCCGAACTATGCAACCCTAACAAAATTTTAGGACAGCCTAGGCTTCGGCCGAAGAGTCGCTAAACTCGACACAAAGTTATTCTGGGTTCAGTGCAAATTATTTCATATAATGCACTGATACACCGCATACAAAATTTATATACGGGCGAGCTATGCAAGCCTAAAAAAATTTGAGGATCGCCTAGGCTTCGGTCGGATAGTCGCTACACTCGGCACAAAGTTATTCTTGGTCTGCATGGCTCTCCTATCGAAATCAACTTATGGTCAAATATCCTTGCCGACATCATAGTCGCCAGAGGGTATGTCAAGGGTTGGCCGAGCCTAGCGCAATTATGCTGCCATTCCCAGTGAAAATTTACAGACGCGGAAGCTTCTGATTTGGATTACCAGAAGCTGGGGCGACTCTGAATGTTGTTAGGGTTTAAACCTTGAGCTACCCGGCTATCAAAATTTTTAGTTGGTGGCGAGCCTGAATTAGGAACCGCCTAGGACTCGGACCGAACGTAAATCAGCTTCTCTATGTCCGCTTTTTGGTCTACATTCCGGTCCCCGAATCAGACAGCTACCAGAGCCCGGTGAGGGGACTGAGGGGATTCTGCCAACTCTTGCCCTACTCTCAGGAGACCATAAAGTCGGCCAGGAGGTTCTGACTAGTCGCTGATTGCTATCAGTTGGCCAACTGACCCAGAATAACTTTGCGCCGAGTGTAGTGACTATTCGGCCGAAGCCTAGGCGGTCCCCGAATTTTGTTAGGGTAAAGCGGACATATATAGAGAAGCTGATTTACGTGCTCCCCGACTCATAGGCGGCACCTGATGCAGAGTCGACCCAGGCATTAAATTTTGTTAGGGAATAGGTGCCGCCTAGGACTCGGGGAGCACGTAAATCAGCCGCTAATGTCCGATTCGGCCGGGCTTGAAGGACAGCCTCTGTGCAGCCTTTCTCATACTCTCATAACACGCTTTTCATACTCTCACGACACTTTTCATGCTCTTGGAAGAAACTTGTCAAACTCTCATGGCAAACACACTTTTCATACTCTCATGTTACATTTTTTGTACTCTCGAGACACACTTGCCATACTCTCATCGAAGACACACTTGTCATACTCTCAAAGACAGACACATCTTCACGCTCTCAGGACACACTTTTCGTACTCTCAAGACACACTTTTCATACGCTCGTACGACTATTAAGTCAGAAAGGAGATTCTAACCAGAAGCTGATTTCGATCAGAGGCCACATGTACCCAGAAAAACTTTGTGCCGAGTGTGGCGACTCTTCACCGAAGCCTATTCGGTCCCCAAATTTTGTTCGGGAAGAATATCATGTACGGCATTCGTAGGCCGAGATACCACAGCAAAGATGCGTGATTGACAACACTTTTGTATCGAGTATTAAGGGTCGCAACTATTTGTGATTGATAGACCTCAATAATACATAATAATCATTTAAATATTATAATAGAGGGAAAAACGGGGAGGGAACTTCAATGGGGTCTTACCGACCCCACCTGGTCCTCGGCATAGTTACTAGCCCCTGGCCAAAGGCACTAAGTTAATAGACCATTAGACCCCTGTAGACCCCACCAGGTCTGCGTCATGATGACTAGCCTCTGCCCCTTGACCCTATCTATATACATCCAGATTATAGACCATTAAACCCCGTAGACCCCACCTGGTCTGCGTCATGGTTACTAGCCCCTGACCAAAGATACTAATTTAATAGACCATTAGGACTACCAGACCCCCGTAGACCCCACCTGGTCTGCGGCATGGTGACTAGCTCCTGACCAAAGATACTAATTTAATAGACCATTAGGACTACCAGACGCCCGTAGACCCCACCTGGTCTGCGGCATGGTGACTAGCCCCAGACCAAAGAAACTAAGTTAATAGACCCCCGTAGACCCCACCTGGTCTGGGGCATGGTGACTAGCCCCAGACCAAAGAAACTAACTTAATAGACCCCCGTAGACCCCACCTGGTCTGGGGCATGGTGCGTAGCTCCTCTCTGCTCCTGAAGCCCAGGCACGTGATCAGCGGCGGCAGCAGCAGACCCAGCAGCACCTCACCGAGTAATAGTAACTTATTTTATTATCTTATATTAACTTGTTTTATTATCTTATATCAACTTGTTTTATTATATCTTATGTTAACTAATTTTATTATCTTATGTTAACTTATTTTAAAATTTACTTATTTTAATATCTCTATTAGGTACCTTATTTTAATATCTTGACATATTCTCTTGTTGTTGTTTGACTTCTTTTAATTTCCATTAACTTATTTAAATATCTTCCATTAACTTGTTTTAATATCTTATGTTAACTTATTTTAATATCTTATATTAACTTGTTTTATTATAGCTTATATTAACTTGTTTTAATATCTTCTATTAACTTGTTTTAATATCTTCTATTAACTTGTTTTAATATCTTATATTAACTTGTTTTAATATCTTAAGTTAACTTGTTTTAATATTTTATGTCAAATTGTTTTAATATCTTGTCATAATTAATTTAATATCTTGTCTTGTATTAATACTCACCTTTATATTAGTATTTTTCCTAGTCCTAAGCCCTCCCAGCCACCCACCTTTATATTAGTATTTAAATATATTAGTAGTATTAGTATTATAAATTATATATTATATATTAATACTCACTTTAATATTAGTATTTATATATATTAGTAGTATTAGTATTATATATTATATACTAATACTCACCTTTATATTAGTATTTTTCCTAGTTCTAAGCCCTCCCAGCCAGAGGTCTGCCAGCAATATCTGACAGCAGGGCTGGTCGCTATTTATTATAATAATATTTCTATATTACTAGTATTATTATATTATATACTAATACTCACTTTAATATTAGTATTTTTCCTAGTCCTGAGCCCTCCCAGCCAGAGGTCTGCCAGCAATATCTGACAGCAGGGCTGGTCGCTATTTATTATATTATTATTTATATATATATTAGTACTACTAGTAGTATTAGGTATATATTATATACTAATACTCACCTTAATATTAGTATTTTTCCTAGTTCTAAGCCCTCCCAGCCAGAGGTCTGCCAGCAATATCTGACAGCAGGACTGGTTGTATTATATCTAGGTATATATTAGTAGTATTACTAGTACTAATATTATATAGTAATACTCACCTTAATATTAGTATTTTTCCTAGTTCTCAGCCCTCCCAGCCAGAGGTCTGCCAGCAATATCTGACAGCAGGGCTGGGCAATAAAGCTGCGGTGGTTGACAGCTGCTGCCAGTGACAGACACGTCTGCTTGGACCAGTTACGTAGCTCGTACGTCAGCAACTCGTGCGCACGTGAGTCGTCTTGCTGGTAGCAATACGTCAGCAGCTCTACAGCTGTAAATATACGGCTGTAGTTATACTGCTGTATACGGCTGTAGTTATACTGCTGTATACGGCTGTAGTTATACTGCTGTAGCAATACGTCAGCAGCTCTACAGCTGTAAATATACAGCTGTAGTTATACGGCTGGAGCAATACGTCAGCAGCTCTACAGCTGTAAATATATAAATATATACAGCTGTAGCAATACGTCAGCAGCTCTACAGCTGTAAATATATGGCTGTAGTTATACAGCTGTAGTTATACGGCTGTAGCAATACGTGAGCAGCTCTACAGCTGTAAATATATNTACAGCTGTAAATATACAGCTGTAGTTATTCAGCTGTACAAAATACATCTGCATTTACGTTAGCAGTTATACAGCTGTAGATATACATCTGTAGTTTTTCAGCTGTAAAAATACATCTGCATTTACGTTAGCAGTTATACAGCTGTAGATATACATCTGTAGTTTTTCAGCTGTAAAAATACATCTGCATTTAAGTCAGCAGTTATATAGCAGAACCGTAAAAATATCAAAAGTAATTCAGCTATAAACACGGCAGCAGTTATACAGCTGTAAAAATATAATTGATTTCATGCGGGCAATTTTACATGTGCTAAAAACCCCTGATTTTACACAGGACAACAGCGCATTTGCATTGCAGTAATAAAACAGTAACAACATTTTAAAAATAAAATTAATCTGAAATATTACATATTAAAAAATATCATTAGACTCATTATCTCACCATTACAGCACCATTACTATTACATTACATTACCATTATTACATTACATTATCTCATACTATTTAGCATAGCCCGAATTCCTCAGTCTCGACACCTTCCATTACCGAGTCATATAATGCTAGAATATTACATATTATTGAGCACCATTAAACCCATTACTGATCCATTAGACCATTACTGTCCCATTATTGGTCCATCACCTAATGTCTCGTCTATTAATATTAATGGCTCCATTAGACTCATTACTGTCCCTTTTTTGCCCCATTACCTAATGTCTCGCCTATAATGGCAGCATTCATATTAATGGCCCCATTAGACCCATTACAACCCAATTACCGCCCCATTACCTAACGTCTCGAACTCCTTGGCGTAGCAGACGAGCTCCTATTAATGGCCCCATTGCTGCCTATTAATGGCCCCATTACTGCCCTATTAATGGCCCCATTACCACCCCATTACTGCCCTATTAATGGCCCCATTAGCCCCATTACCTAATGTCTCGAACTCCTTGGCGTAGCTGACGAGCTCCTATTAATGGCCTATTAATGGCCCCATTACTGCCCTATTAATGGCCCCATTACTGCCCTATTAATGGCCCCATTACCGCCCCATTACCTAAGGTCTCGAACTCCTTGGCGTAGCAGACGAGCTCCTATTAATGGCCCCATTACCACCCCATTACCTAATGTCTCGAACTCCTTGGCGTAGCAGACGAGCTCCTATTAATGGCCCCATTACCACCCCATTACCTAATGTCTCGAACTCCTTGGCGTAGCAGACGAGCTCCTATTAATGGCCCCATTACCACCCCATTACCTAATGTCTCGAACTCCTTGGCGTAGCAGACAAGCTCCTATTAATGGCCCCATTACTGCCCCGTTACCTAATGTCTCGCTCATTAATACTAATGGCCCCATTTACCCATTACCGCCCCATTACCTAATGTCTCGAATTCCTTGGCGTAGCAGACGAGCTCCTCGTGCACCTCGGTCTCGAGGTCGTCATCAGCGGCCTCGAGGGCGAGGCCCTTGTAGAGCTTAGCGGCCACGAGGCTCTTAGCGAGGGCCTCTTCCCCGTGCTGCCAGCACAGCAGTGCCAGCGCCTGCCGCTGTGACAGCACCGCCCACACCTGGTAATAATGGGCCCCATTAGCCCCATTACCTAATGTCTCGTCTATTAATATTAATATATATGAGTCAGCAGTGTTAGCATCAGTACAAGCACCAGTACCAGTACCAGCACCAGTACCAGAACCAGTACCAGTACCAGCACCAGTACCAGTACCAGTACCAGTACCAGTACCAGTACCAGTACCAGCACCAGTACCAGTACCAGTACCAGTACCAGNCACATATCGAACAATTACTCGCCCAATCTTAAATTATGCTGCCCCCATTTGGTACCCAGTCGCCTCACGAACCGCAATCGCAAGTCTCCAGATCATTCAAAACTCAGCCTTGAGACTAGCCACTGGCTGCCTCAAGATGGCCCCAATCGCCCATCTCCACCATGAGACCGGCGTCCTACCCCTGTCCGCCCACCTGGACCTGGCCTGTGCGCAATTTCTCGCCAGCGCCCTCCAGCCTGCTCATGCTTCTTTCAACATCGTCTCCGCTCCCCCCGGAGACCGCCCCATGAAAGCCTCAATCAAGTCAAGATTCGGCCACCTTATGGCGCCTTTCCTGGCCGACGGCAGGATGCCCGACGGTGCCTATGGAGAGGCAAAACACTCCCTCCGTAGGGAGATAGCCACCCGTGTTGCGGCGACGGCCGGTCACAACGCGGTCCTCTCAACCCCGCCACCACCGATTGCAGTAGAAGAGGCCTCGCTCCCTCGTCCTTACCGCTCAGCGCTATCCCAGCTACGCTCGGGATACTGCAGCTCCCTTGCGTCCTACACCCACAGGGTCGGTCGCTCCCTTAGCGCCGCTTGCCCGGAGTGCGGGGATCCCCTCCAATCCGTCCAGCACCTCTTCGCCTGCCCCGCCTTCCCCACGTCCCTCAGCGTCTCATCATTGTGGGACAACCCCGTGGAGGCGTCGACGTTCTTGGCCACCCTCCCTGCTTTTGCCCATCTCCCTCCTCTTCCGGTGCCGCCCCCCCGACCACCACCAGAGCCTCCACCCACGCGAGCGTGACGTTTGGCGCAAGAAACAACAACAACAAGTGGTGGTACCAGCACCAGTACCAGTACCAGTACGTACAATGAGCTCGCTGAAGGGGTAGTCGAAGTGGTGGTACCAGTACCAGCACCAGCACCAGTACCTACCATGAGCTCGCTGAAGGGGTAGTCGAAGTGGTACCCGCCCTCGCACGTATCAGACCCCGCGCAGGAGTCGCGGTCTGTGGGGGTCGAGACTGCAGACCCCTTCTCAGAGATGGACCTATGAGGGTTTAATTTAATAATTGAATTAGCGTCTAAATAAACACATTTATGGAAGCATATTAATTAAATTATCATTTATTAAATTATCATTTAGTACCTGCGGGAGGGATTAAATTTAATAATTTAATGAGTGTTGAAATAAAGACGTTTATGGAAGCATATAAATTAAATTATCATTAATTAAATTATATATTTATATGTAATAACAAAACAATTTTTTTAGCAAAAAATTTCAACTAAAAGAATTACCACCAATTGAAAATTACCAACTAAATTTAACCTAATTGGTAATTTATATAATTAAAAATTTCAAATTCGCAAAATTTAAATAAATTAATAAATAAACAAATAATAAATAAATGACCAATTTATTTTTATTGGTAATTTAATTTACCTAAAAATTTTAAATTCCCTAAATTTAAATAAAATAATTAATGAATAATAGTAAATAAATTTAAATGAAATTTTTAATTCTAATTTAATTAAAAATGTAATTATCAATTAGAATTACCTGTATAGGGCGGCCCCCAGCAGGTTGGGGCCGTGCTGGGGACTGGCGTGGGCAGAGTTGTGGTCAAGGGACGCAGCCAGGGACTTGTATGGGGACTGCTGGGGGTGTGGGGAGGGGCGGTGGGTGCTCCCCATGCGTTGGGAGCCAGGGGCGCCGCCCCCATAACATGACCCAGGGGCGCCGCCCCCATACCGACATGCCCCAGGGGCGCCGCCCTTCTTCTGCAGGGCGTGGTACGTGTTGCGGAACTTGCGACGCGTGTACGTCGACCTGAGATATAAATAAATAATTATTTAATTATATTCATATTTATTCATTTATTATTTATATTCTTAATTCGTATCATTAATTAATTACGGCCTGAGATGAAAAAAATAATTATTTATTTTTATTTATTCATTTATTATTTATATTCTTAATTCGTATCATTAATTAATTACGGCCTGAGATGAAAAATAATTATTTATTTATATTCATATTTATTCATTTATTATTTATATTCTTAATTCGCATCAGCAGTACAATTAGTACCTGAAAAAAAAAATATTTATAATCTAAATTCGTACCTTAATTAGATTAATTAATACATTTATTATAAATTAACTTTTAAAATTGTGATAAAAGTATTTCAATATAAAAAAGAATTGCCCCTAGTCACCTGAATGCGCCCCTAGTTACCTGAAGGCACCCCTAGTTACCTGAAGGCGCCCCTTGTTACCTGAAGGCGGCCCTAGTTACCTGAAGGCGGCCAGTTACCTAGTTACCTAGGCGGCCAGTTACCTAGTTACCTGAAGGCGCCCCTAGTCACCTGAAGGCGCCCCTAGTCACCTGAAATCCAGTCCCACCAACTTGCAGAGGAATCCAACCAAATTCTGGTCGCTCCGGCGCTCCCTCTCCGGCAAATCAGCCAGTCAAGCCCCCAACCAACCCATTTCCTTCAACAACTCTCATGTCACCGCAGACCATATTATAGCCTCTTCCTTCTGCCGCCAATTTACGCTGGTTCCCCACCACCAACGTGACCCCTCCAGCAGGTCCACCTACAGAGGCATCAAGCGCCGCAATCCTCTCTCCGACACACCCCCCGCCTTCACTCCGGATCAGACCAGACATTAAGTTTGGAGCTCGGGTACCTCTACTACCACCGGCCCGGACTTCCTCACTATCCTCCTCACTATCCGTCATCTGGGTCCCAGAGGCATCCAGTACCTCACCGAACTTTTCAACCTGTCCCTTGCCAAGGCCGACATCCCTGCCATCTGGAAGTCAGCCACAATCATTGCCATCCCAAAGCCGGGCAAACCTCCGTCCATAAGCTCCTCATACCGACCCATCTGCCTCCTGTGCCCATCTGTAAAGGTGTTGGAGCGTCTGCTCCTCCCCTCCCTCAATGCTGCACTTCCACTGGCGGACTCCCAGCACGGTTTCCGCTCCCTCCACTCCACAACGTCTGCTCTACTTCCTCTAACCCAGGCCATAGCTATAGGCTTCTACCAGCCTCGCCCACCAACCAGGACAATAGCGATGGCCATTGACTTCAGCAAGGCTTTCGACACCGTGCCTCACGCCCAGCTCATCTCTCACATCGCCACCACCCCCCTCCACGCCAATATCACCCGCTGGCTGATCTGCTACATCAGAGGCAGGACAGCCAGGTGCTCCTACAATAGCTGCATCTCCTCCCCACGTCCGGTCCTCGCTGGTGTCCCACAAGGCTCCGTCATCTCGCCCGTCCTCTTTAACTCCTATGTCTCAGACTTCCCCCAATCCGCCCCTCTAATCACCTCCTATGCGGACGACTTCACAGCCGCTGCGGATACCGTGCAGATCGCCGACGCGTCTGCAGTCCTCTTCTCCCACTCCTCCGATGTGGCTGCATGGGCTCGTCGGAAGGGGTTACTGGTGTCTATCCCCAAATCCCACACTACCCTCTTCACCTCCGACACCCATCAATCACAAACAGACCCTTAAGTCAGCTGGGAGGGGTCCGACTTTCCACTTTGTCGAACCCCGAAGATCCTCGGGGTCACATTCAACCCCCAATTCACCTTCTCGCCTCACATCGCTGCGATATGTCAGAGCGCCCGCCCGCGCCTCAACATCCTCAAATCCCTTGCCGGAACCAGCTGGGGACAGCAGAAGGAAACCCTCTTGGTGACTTTCAAGACTCTTATAAAGTCTCTCAACACCTACGCTGCCCCAGTGTGGTTCCTTAACGCCTCTCCCTCGGCAATCTCCAAGCTGCAAACCATTCAAAACTCTGCCCTCCGCATAGCCACGGGATCTCTTCTAATGGCCTCAGCTGCCCACCTGAACAGCGAAGCTGAGCTCTTACCCTTGGCCGACCACCTCTCTCTACTCTGCTCACAGTTCCTTGCCAGTGCCCTTCGACCACACCATCCCAGCTACCCTATTATCACCCAGACATCAGGGCCCCGTCCCATGAAGCACACGCTTCAGTCCCACTTCCTCCCTTCGGTCTCTCACCTGCTGGAAGAGGGATCCCTCCCCCCCGACACCTACTCCGCTGCCCTCAGCACCCTGCACAGCTCTGATGTCTCATTCTACCTGGCCTCTGCAGCTCCCAACAAGGTGCTGCTGACCCCTGCCCCCACTGTCTCGTCCAGCGAGCTTTCCCTCCCCAGGGCGGCCAGAAGCGCCCTTTCCCAGCTCCGCTCTGGCTACTCTTCGCTACTCAACTCGTACCTTGCTCGCATCGGTGCAGCCAACAGCCCACTCTGCCCTGAGTGCGGCACTATGGACCACACCGCTCATCATCTCTTAAGCTGCCCTTCGCATCCCACCTCGCTAACCCCACTGGACCTCTGGTCTAACCCTGGACCGGCTGCGGCTTTCCTCTCCTCGCTCCCATCCTTCGCTGACATCTTTGGAGCGGAACCTCCGCTCCCCCCTCCTCCCCCGGAGCCGCCGCCTCGTCGTGGGCGCCGCCGAGCAGCGGTCCCGGGTAATTAACAACAACCTGAAGGCGCCTCTAGTCATCTGCTGCCCCCCCTAGTCACCTGAAGGCACCCTTAGTCACCTGCTGCCCCCCCTAGTCACCTGAAGGCACCCCAGTCACCTGCTGCCCCCCTAGTCACCTGAAGGCGCCCCCCATCAGCCTGTTGATGACTAGTCCCACGTTAGGCAACGTGTNAAGAGACAGGTTTGGGGGGGGCAGGGGGTTTTGTGGGGGGCATGGAGGGCTTATGTCAACAGGGGGTATTGTGAACTACCTAAGAAGAATTAACCTACCAAAAATAAGACAGAACCATTATATTACATTAGATATAAAGAATACAATACACAACACCCAGCCCTAGTACAAGAACATAACACACAGCATTGTATAGGTCCTCGAGGCGCTGTATGGTCAGGAACTTGGTCATGGTCACGCCCTGCTCCAGCAGCAGCTTCACGAACTCGATCCTGTCGTGCACCAGCGCGTCCATCATAGCCAGCTCCAGGGCACCTGGGGCATGGAGGTCATGGGGTACAACTGGGGTCATTGGGTACATGGCTGGGGTCATCGGGTACAACTGGTGTCATCGGGTACAACTAGGGTCATCGGGTACATGGCTTGGGTCATTGGGTACACGTCTGAGGCAGGGGGTCAGTGGGTACACGGCTGGGGTCATTGTGTACATAGCTGGGGTCATTAGGTACACGGCTGGGGTCATTGGGTACACGGCTGGGGTCATCGGGTACATGACTGGGGTCATCGGGTACATGACTGGTGTCATCGGGTACACAACTGGGGCACGGGGTCATCGGGTACACGACTGGGGGCACGGAGTTATCGGGTACACAACTGGGGGCACGGAGTCATCGGGTACAACTCCGGAATGAAAATTATAATGACCAGCGTCATAATCTAGGTATAACATATCAAAAGTTGAAACAGGGTAATTATTGGAGCAATAACCTTAACGAACGCAACAACCTTAGGCAATAACCTAACATTGAGCAATAACCTTACAATGAGGCAATAACCTTTAGGCAATAACCTAACATTGAGGCAATAACTTAAAGGCCATAACCCTAAGGAAGGCACTAACCTTAAGGAAGGCATAACCTTCATGGAAAGCAGTAACCCTAAAGCAATAATAATAATAACCTTGCGACCACGCGACGTCCTCGTTGAAGACGTGCGTCCTGGCGATGTCCACGCGGTTCCACGTGAGCGCCAGCGACAGCTTCTCCGGGTCACTGAGACTGTGGGACCTCAGCAGCGCTGACAGAACTGTCTGGTCCAGCTCTGCCCCCTCTGTCAGCCGGAACACTGTCATCTGACGGCAGAGACAGGAGTGACAGTACTGTCTGGTCCAGCTCTGCCCCCTCTGTCAGCCGGAACACTGTCATCTGACGGCAAAAAGGTTGATATATAAGGCCACCTGTCAGCCGGAACACTGTCATCTGACGGCAGAGACAGGAGTGACAGTACTGTCTGGTCCAGCTCTGCCCCCTCTGTCAGCCGGAACACTGTCATCTGACGGCAAAAAGGTTGATATATAAGGCCACCTGTCAGCCGGAACACTGTCATCTGACAGCAGAGACAGGAGTGACAGTACTGTCTGGTCCAGCTCTGCCTCCTCTGTCAGCCGGAACACTGTCATCTGACGGCAGAGATGTTGATATACCATCTGTCATCTTATACAGATGGTATAAGGCCATCTGTCATATGATAACAGAAAACAGTATTCGTTCGGCGGAGGACGACGAAGGAGGCGCATCAGCATGGCCACGGAGGAAGATGTCCGAAACTTGACATAAGGACACACTAGTTACGTCCCACTACACACTAGTTACGCACTAGCCAGCTGAATCAAACACTAGTTTCCACTAGTTACACTCTAGTTACACACTAGTTACCTACTGACCAGCTGAGCCAGAGTTCCTATCCACTATTTACCCACTAGTTACCCACCAGCTGCTGCTTGCGGACACACTGCAGCACCTCAGAGAAGAGCTTCTCGGCCCACCACACACTAGTTACCACTAGTTACCCACCAGCTGCTGCTTGCGGACACACTGCAGCACCTCGGAGAAGAGCTTCTCCGCCTGCTCCTGCCGGAGGTCAAACTCGCGCTGCAGCGTCGCCACCACCACGCCCCGCACGTGCTCGAACACGCCCGTGCCCGGCACCCCCAGCCTATAAATTTTGTTATTAGTTATCTATTATCATTGTGGTTATCTATTATCATTATGGTTATTATTTATCATTGTAGTTATCGATTATTGTTGTAGTTATCTATTATTGTTCGCGACCACCACGCCCCGCACGTGCTCGAACACGCCCTTGCCCGGCACCCCCAGCCTGGGGGGTTATTAGTTACCTATTATCATTGTGGTTATCTATTATCATAATGGTTATCTATTATCATTGTAGTTATCGATTATTGTTGTAGTTATCTATTATTGTTCGCGACCACCACGCCGCGCACGTGCTCGAACACGCCCTTGCCCGGCACCCCCAGCCTGGGGGGTTATTAGTTATCATTTATTGTCAATGTACTGATCTATTATCACTGTAATAATCAATTATTATTGTAGTTATCAATTATTATTGTTCGCGATGACGACGCCGCGCACGTGCTCGAACACGCCCGTGCCTGGTGCCCCCAGCCTGGGGGGGTTGTTAGTTATCACCTATTTATCTTTGTGGTTATCAATTATCATTAGATATTAGTTATCTATTAGCATTGTGGTGATCGATTATCATTAGATATTAGTTATCACCTATTATCATTGTGTGATCGATTATCATTGGTTATTAGTTATCACCTATTCATCATCGTGGTTATCAAAAAATATATGTGTTTTCATATAAAAAACGTTACATAATATATTATAAATAATATAAATAGAATTATCTTTATATTATAACATAAAAGTTTAGGTAAGTCAACGTGTTGGGGGGATAGGTTACCCCTCAGCGTGGCCTGGGGCTGTATACGTCTGAAACACACACTAATGATACCAAATGGTATTACTTTGATTGCCTTCTGAATTCTGAAATCATCCCCGTACGAAAGTTGCACTAAAAAATGTGCCCGTGCCCGTACTAGGTGCCCGTGCCCGTACCAGGTGCCCGTGCCCGCACCAGGTGCACGTGCCCGTACCAGGTGCCCGTGACCGTACCAGGTGCTCGTGCCCGTACCAGGTGCCCATGCCCGTACCAGGTACCCGTACCAGGTGCCCGTGCCCGTACCAGGTACCCGTACCAGGTGCCCGTGCCCGTACCAGGTAATGCCCGTACCAGGTACCCGTACCAGGTGCCCGTGCCCGTACCAGGTACCCGTACCAGGTGCCCATGCCCGTGCCAGGTACCCGTACCAGGTGCCCGTGCCCGTACCAGGTGCCCGTATCAGGAGCCCATGCCCATACCAGGTGCCCATATCAGGTACCAGGTGCCCGTACCAGGTGCCCGTATCAGGTGCCCATGCCCGTACCAGGTGCCCAAACCAGGTACCAGGTGCCCGTACCAGGTGCCCGTGCCCGTACCAGGTGCCCGTAGCCGTACCTGGCGCCCGGTGCCCGTACCCGTGCCCGTGCCCGTACCTGCCGTCCTCGAGGCACTTGTAGACGAAGGAGAGGATGTCAGCGGCCCGGCCCGTCCCGTCACAGACGATGACGGGCACGGGCGGCGAGTCCGTGACGTACTCCAGCACCTGTCTGATGGTGGCCGGTCCCCCCTCTATGACCACGCACACCACGGGGGTCACCAGCCCCCCTCCTGTGGGGGTTAGGGGGGTTATGTGAAGTTAGGGGGCTAGGGAGGGTGTGGGGGTTAGAACCCTATCAAAATTTTTAGTTGGTGGCGACCCTGAATTAGGCACCGCCTAGGACTCGGACCGACGTAAATCAGCTTCTCTATGTCCGCTTAATGATCTCTACATTCCGGTCCCCGAATCAGACAGCTACCAGAGCCTGGTGAGGGGACTGAGAGGATTCTGCCAACTCTTGCCCTACTCTCAGGAGACCATAAAGTCGGCCAGGAGGTTCTGACTAGACGCTGATTGCGATCAGTTGGCCAATTGACCCAGAATAACTCTAACGCGAACATACCAACTCTGGGGCGGAGGCTGAAGCATACCCCAAATTTTGTTAGGGAAGCTAGGGTTTATCCAACAACAGGACAACACCTGACAACAGGACAACAGGATAACAGGACAACTGGACAACAGGATAACAGGAAAACTGGACAACAGGACAACAGACAACAGGACAACAAGACAACAGGGCCGTACGTGCGTGGATGCGCTGTTTGCTGACGTAGTTCTCGAGGCGTCGCCGCAACAGAAGCTCAGCGCCGTACTTGCCCGCCGTGCCGTTGTCGACCAACAGGAAGTAGGAGTGATGACTGTTGAGAGCAGCGAACCTGCAACAGGAAGTAGGAGTGATGACTGTTGAGAGCAGCGAACCTGCAACAGGAAGTAGGAGTGATGACTGTTGAGAGCAGAGAACCTGCAACAGGAAGTAGGAGTGATGACTGTTGAGAGCCTGTCTCTTATACACATCTAGATGTGTATAAGAGACAGAAGTAGGAGTGATGACTGTTGAGAGCAGCGAACCTGCAACAGGAAGTAGGAGTGATGAACCTGCAACAGGAAGTAGGAGTGATGACTGTTGAGAGCAGAGAACCTGCAACAGGAAGTAGGAGTGAAGAACAGGGGTTAGACCCCACTCACCTGAAGGGTTAGACCCCACTCACCTGGAGCGTGGGGTTAGACCCCTCTCCCCTGGAGCGCGGAGCATAGACCCCATTCACCTGGAGCGGGGGGTCGTGATGGGGAGGTAGGACCATGGGGTTAGACCCCACTCACCTGGAGCGGGGGGTGGTGATGGGGAGGTAGGGTAGCTCCCTGTTCCTCCCCACGAGGTCGTGCCGTCGCTCCACGATCCCCCAGGGGGCGATCCCCACACTCACCACCCGCCCCCCTCCCCCCCGCACCCGCNGTCCCCGCCGTGAAGACCCATGCCCCGGTGGTCTTGGCAGCCTTGGCTAGACCCTTCCTGATGACCTTCTTGAGCTTGGGCTGCAGGTCGAAGTTGGTCTTGCCGCCCTGCACTGTGATCAGGAGCTTGGGCAGACCCAGACCCCACTCCCGCGTCAGCAGGTCTATGATGAGGTCTGGCCGCGTGTCATGGGCTAGCCGGATGAACTGAAATTCAGTAATTAATTAATTACTCCATTAATTAATTAATTAATTAATTAATTACTCCAGGGAATTAAATAAAAAATATTAAAGATTGGCATGTCAATAGAAAATAGTAAAGTGTAATAATAAAGGAAATAGTAAATGGTGAAGCACGTCAATATATTATTTTGACGAAAAAATATTCTAGAGTGGGAATAGAAAAAATAAATAATATTAGAAAACATATAAATAGAATAGAAAATGGTAAAGCATCGCACCCACAAACCCCATCACCATCATCATCATCACCCAAATGTTGAAGCACGTCAATATAAAATACATACCAGCGAAAAATTAACAAATAAATAGTAAAGCGAAAATAGTAAAGCACCAATCGTGCCGCGACGCGACCATCCATCGCAGGCGACTATGCCTGCGGAAGGTAACAGGATGACTTGTCAACAATCTATGAATAAGAATAAGAAGTCCTAGGGAATAAAATACAATTCAACGGGACCAAGTTCCAAGTAATGAGATACAGAGATCTAACCCAATGAGATCTCATTGGGTACACCCAATGAGATACAGAGTTGGCACAGAGATCGGGATGTTGAATCGCAGCTTGACATCAGTAGGCGCAGAAATTGAGAAAAGCAACTTGTTCTCGCAGTGTTAATGAGTACAAAAGCTAAGTTGGAAGACAACATCGAGGAAAAAGTTGCGCGAAGCAGACAGCGGATAAGTAACAGTACAACAACCCTGGCGGACATTCCGAACAAGAGAAGCGGTGCTAATGATTACACTCTTTCAGAGCCTACGTGCTCTCAACTCTAGTACTGCTGCCAGCTTTGGGCACCGCTCAAGGCGAGCGCAGTGCGGCAATTGAATGCAGTCCAGCGGACCTTCACGTGCAGGATCAGCGAGATCTGGGACAGGTTGAAACACCTGGGACTGTACTCACTGGAGAGAAGAAGGGAGATGTACATCATAATGTACACTTGGAACATGATTACCGGACTGGCCCCAATCTTTGAAATTTAGACCTTTGAGACCTTCAAGATTGTGACACATCATAACAAAAAAAATGCGAGACTGTGCCGGATAGTCCCATTTAACCCTCTACCGCCTGACATGAGTAACCGGAGCAATATTGTCACAAGCCTACTTCCCAAAAAGGATACGTTGCTAGTGAGCGCAAAATGACTTGCACTGATGGTTGCTACCACGTACGACAACTTTAAAATGTTCTCTGTTGCGTATACAAACGTCCTCAGGTTGCTACTCTCAATAGTTTACGTATAATTTAAGTTGAAAGTTATATTCCCGGAGAGTGACATGCGGCGGTAGAGGGTTAATAACCGAGCTGTGGCCAGAGTTCAGACTCTTCGGGACAGGTCAGAGTTCAACGCCTTGCCGAAGGAGACACTAATAGAGGAGATACGATAATTAAGAAACGACTGTAACAACAGTAAGAAAACAAAAGAAAACAATTTTGAACAATGTCTGGGATCTTCCGGTTGTGTGTCACTACTCTTGGTAAGTGGCAGCAGCATTTTACATCAGCTGGACCAAATGAGGACATCAGATGGCCCAACTGAGGTCATAAGCTGGCCCAACTGAGGACCTCAGCTGGCCCAGCTGAGGACAACAGATGGTCCAACTGAGGACATACAGCCACACGGTAGTCACGTTCAATGTTACCCCCACCACCCTGGCCCCGTGGTGAGTGGGGCCACTCACTGAGTGTGGTAAGTGGGGCCCGGTGGTGAGTGGGGCCCCATCCATGACCCACCTGAGCCTTGGTGGGCACGGAGGTGCCCAGGAACTCGATGGTGCCGTAAGCGTCGGTGGGCAGGAGGTGGGTGTGGCGGGAGGGGGACCACAGGGGCTCGTCCGCCCCCCGCAGGGTGGCGGGGGACCCGTCCCAGGGGTAATGAACTGAATAATGGGGTAATGAACTGAATAATGGGGGTAATGAAGTGAATAATGGGGGTAATGAACTGAATAATGGGGTTAATTAACTGAATAATGGGGGTAATAAACTGCATAATGGGGGTAATGAACTGAATAATGGGGGTAATAAACTGCATAATGGGGGTAATGAACTGAATAATGGGGGCCATGAATTAGCCACCATCCCAGTGATACTGCCACAGCTGCCTGCAGCAGCAGATTATGGGGGTGATGAGGTGAATAATGGGGTAATTAAGCGAACATAATAAGGGTTGGTAATGAACTGAATGTAATAATGTGGGTAAAAAGTGAAAGTGATAGTGGGATTTAAAGTAATAATGGGGTATTGAACTGAGAGTAATTATGGAGATAATCAACTAAAATTAATGTTAGGGTAATGAATTAACAGTAATAATGGGAGTAATGAACTGAGAAAATTAGTAAGCAATTAAAAGGAAGTAACTGGAAAACAAAATGAATTAAAAACATACATTAGTTATAACAACTGCTTAATTACCCTAATAACCACAAATAACTAAACCCGTAAAGTTACATTAATAACATTTATATGATAAGCACCATCACATTTACCAGCAGCATTAAATTGAAGGTAATAGTGATATCACCAGTAGAGTTATACCAAGTAATAACTCATTAATGTATTGGTTTTTAAATATACTATTAATGAGTACGGTATATATTATTTATATATTACTGTTATTAATATTAATAATAAATTATTAATAAATTATTAATATTAATTATACTACTATTATATTAATATCAATCAAAATGGAGGTTCATATCAATCATGTATTAATTTAATTAATAAAACTATCAATCAAAGGAATAATCATATATTAATTTAATTAATAAAAGATAATCAGCAATAATGCATCACCTAGCGTTGTCGCGGCTGCTGGATATTATTAATATATTATCAATATTATTTATACTAATATTATATTATTAATAATTAAGCTTCTAATCATATATACCTTATTCAATTAATAAAAGATAATCAGCAATAATGCATCACCTGGCGTTGTCGCGGCTGCTGGATATTAATAATAATGTTATCAATATTAAATATACTTCTAAGGGGATAAAGGGCAGTGGGGGTAATGGGGGTGTTGGGTAATGTGGGTAAAGGGCAGTGGGGGTAATGGGTAACTTGGGGGAATTGATAGTGGGGGTGATGGGTATTGGGAGGCATCAGTAATGGGGGTCATTGGTTATGGGGGGGCTAGGGTAATAGGGAGCATGGGTAATCGGGGGGCACGGTTAGGTATAAGGTAGGCAAGGGTTAGGATGAGAAAGTGTTGGGGAGAGAAAGAGGACGGGTTATGAAATGGTTTGGGTTAGAAAGGGTTTGAGTTAGAAAGGGTTATAGTTAGAAAGGGTTATAGCTAGAAGGGGTTATAGCAACTCACCATAACGCTGGAATGCTAACGCCCAACGCAAATTCCAACTCGTTACAAGGGAATTTATCCCGTAGTAATATCAGCATTAAAAGTTCATATTTAATTTATATATTCTACCTCGTACACTATTCATCATTTTCACTCTCAAGTCTTGACAAAATTCTGATCGGTACACAAAAATATAGACATGAAAAAATGTCTTATTTATTGGAAGACTTTAAATAGATTAAATTTGATTCTATAAATATTTTTGCGAAATGTAACATCTGTAAGAAAAAATATTTTATTAAACAGATATATGAAAAAAGTGCCATCGATATATACAGTTAATAAATTGTATAAATTTCACTTTTTCACCGTTGAAAAAAAAGGTTAAATAGTTTAAAAATATACGGTTCAAACTCATTCATGACAGAAGGTTGCAAAAGTAACACCCACCAGGGTTGTAGCAGCAACACCCACCAGGGTTGCAGCAGCAACACCACCAGGGTTGTTGCAGCAACACCACCAGGGTTGCAGCAGCAACACCACCAGGGTTGCAGCAGCAACACCACCAGGGTTGCAACAACGCGATTTTTAATAAATTTAATAAATAATTTGACTTGCGATGCTCAATTAATTAAAACGCCTAAAATCCGCAGTTTAAATCTATTTAAAATTCAAATATATTATTGAAAATTTGAAATTTATCTAGTATAAAAATTCATCTGAAGGCTCTATTCAACAAAATAAATCTGCTCAAATTCAGATGAAATGCTTAATATACGATTTAACTTTAATGAAAACGACCAAGCTATGATATTAATTTAAGGCAAACTCTTAATTTGTTTTATGAAAAACATGTGATTTGCGATTTAAATTTATTTAAATAGCCATATCTACGATATCAGATTATTGAAAACGTCACATCTGCGATGAAATTGAAGTTAAAACGCTTATCTCAGATTTAAAAATAATCAGAAAGCTCAATCTGCGATTGAATTTTAATTTAAACGCTTATTGTACGATTTAAGTTTGATAAAAAAGCTAGATCTATAATTAAATTTTATTTTAAAAGCCTAATCTACGATGTAAATTTAATTAAAACGCTCGATCTTTGATTAGATTTTAATTAAATTGCTTAATGTACGGTTGTAATTTAATTAAAACGCTCGATCGGCGATTAAATTTTAATTTAAAAGCTTAATCTACAATTTAAATAATTAAAATGCTCGATCTGTGATTAGACTTTAATTAAAACGCATAACCTACAATGTAAATTTAATTAAAACGCTCTATCTAGTAAATAAATTTAATTAGATCGCGTCTTGCATGACGACAAATCGAAACTTTTGGCCTCCACGCTTAGGCTTTTGGCACGATATCAGGGAGCTGTACACTGTATACGTTACACTGTACATGTTACACTGTGCATATTTACGCTGTACATGTACACTGTACATATTTACGCTGTACATGTACACTGTACATATTTGCGCTGTACATGTACACTGTACATATTTACGCTGTACATGTTACACTGTACATGTTACACTGTACACGTTACACTGTACATGTTACACTGTACACGTTACACTGTACACGTTACACTGTACATGTTACACTGTACATGTTACATTGTACATGTTACATTGTACATGTTACACTGTATATGTTACACTGTACATATTTACGCTGTACATGTTACACTGTACATATTTACGCTGTACATGTTACACTGTACATGTTACACTGTACATGTTACACTGTACATATTTACGCTGTACATGTTACACTGTACATGTTACACTGTACATGTTACACTGTACATATTTACGCTGTACATGTTACACTGTACATGTTACACTGTATATGTTACACTGTACATATTTACGCTGTACATGTTACACTGTACATGTTACACTGTACATGTTACACTGTACATGTTACACTGTACATGTTACACTGTACATGTTACACTGTACATGTTACACTGTACATGTTACACTGTACATGTTACACTGTACATGTTACACTGTACATGTTACACTGTACATGTTACACTGTACATGTTACACTGTACATGTTACACTGTACATGTTACACTGTACATGTTACACTGTACACGTTACACTGTACACGTTACACTGTACATATTTACGTTGTACATGTTACACTGTACATGTTAAACTGTGCATGTTACTGTACACGTTACACTGTACATATTTACGTTGTACATGTTACACTGTACATGTTAAACCGTGCATGTTACTGTACACGTTACACTGTACATGTTACACTGTACACGTTAATTACACTGTACATGTTACACTGTACACGTTAAACTGCATGTTACACTGTACACGTTAAACTGTGCATGTTACTGTACACGTTACACTGTACATCTTACACTGTACACGTTACACTGTAAACGTTACACTGTACACGTTACACTGTACATGTTACAATGCGTAGTCTACACAGTACACGCTAAACTGTACACGCTAAACTGTACGGTGTGTGGAGGTGATATTATAAGCATGGAGCGTTACAATCGCACTCAACTATAACGCTGCCATTACACGCAAATGTAACTGTAACGCTGCCATCACACTGTACTGTAACGCTGCCATTACACTGTACTGTAACGCTATAACCCCACGAAAGTGCAACGTAATATCGCCGTGTAATTACAACGTTATAACCTCACTTGAGTGCAACATAATAACGCTGTGTAATTACAACGTTATAACCTCACTTGAGTGCAACGTAATAACGCCGTGTAATTACAACGTTATAACCTCACCACAGTGCAACGTAATAACGCCGTGTAATTACAACGTTATAACCCCACCAAAGTGCAACGTAATATCGCCGTGTAATTACAACGCTATAATCTCGTCTATAACAGCAGCATCGTGACCGCGCATATAACGCCAGTATAACTTACAGGGGCGTGCAAATCTGGGTCCAAAGCGACGTAGAATGCGATTTCTTGGTCATAATTTGCTGATAAAAAATACGTATAATAAAATATACGTTGTATGAATAAAATATACCGTACGTATAAGAAAATATAAGTTATGCGAATAAAATATACGTATAATAAAATATACGTTGTATGAATAAAATATACCGTACGTATAAGAAAATATAAGTTATGCGAATAAAATATATGTATAATAAAATATACGTTATACGAATAAAATATACCGTACGTATAAGAAAATATACGTTATGCGAATAAAATATACGTATAATGAAATATACGTTACCGTATGCGAATAAAATATGCGTATAATAAAATATACCGTACGTTATGCTAATAAAATATAATGATAAAATATACGTCTAATAAAATATACGCATATCGTATAATAAAATATACGTTATGTGAATAAAATGTACGTTGTGTCGCCAGCTGCTTCGTGCGTTTAATAGTATTGTTATTATTAGTATATTATAAGATAGGTATAGTTTATTGATTAAGAGAATTGTAAGAAAATATTTTTTACCGTCACTTAAATTCGCCCGCTTATTCGAAAAATTTCAACTAACCCATGCATGAGGAAATTAAAATAAATTAATTGATTTTAATGTAGGTATAATAATAATGTATGTAATAATAACATTACATTGAAAGTAATAAAAAATAATTTATTACTTTTAATGCAACTAAGTAATTCCCTTCAGTCCCCCCATGCCTACATACAGCGTTATTACGTAAAACTTAGGAGTGAAGGGAAATTATTTAATAGATAATTAATTTAAAACGGGGAAATAATTATTTGATTAACAATTAATTATGTCTATATATGAGGTATATATGAGGAGAAGGAATTTGCGCAGAGAATAAATTGTATCATTGATGATTGGTCTAATAAATCGAAGATGATAACAGGTAAAATAAGGTTTATTATTGAAGTAGGTATATTGATAAAGTATATTTTTGAAGTATATTGATAGGGTATTTTGATTAGGAAACTGGTAAATTAGAGATGAAAATATCAAAATAATGGTGATGCCTATATGCTTATTATAATTTATATTGTACCTATTATGGTTACCGTATATGGGTAGGAAAGTTAGGGTTAAGCTACAATAGGGTGATAGAAGGGTTATATGGGTGGGGAGGTAAGGGTTAGGGTTAAGCTACAATAGGGTGATAGAAGGGTTATATGGGTGGGAGGTTAAGGTTAGGGTTAAACAACAATAGGGTGATAGAAGGGTTATATGGGTGGGGAAGTAAGGGTTAGGGTTAAGCTACAATAGGGTCATAGTAGGGTTATATGGGTGGGGAGGTAAGGGTTAGGGTTAAGCTACAATAGGGTCATAGAAGGGTTATATGGGTGGGGAGGTAAGGGTTAGGGTTAAGCTACAATAGGGTCATAGAAGGGTCATATGGGTGGGTGGTAAGGGTTAGGGTTAAGCTACAATAGGGTGATAGAAGGGTTATATGGGTGGGAGAGGTAAGGGTTAAGCTACAATAGGGTGATAGAAGGGTTATATGGGTGAAGAGGTTAAGGTTAAGCTACAATAGGGTCCTTATTTTAGGGTTAGCGATGCATGGAGTTAACATACAATGAACGTAAATGTATAATGTATATGTATGTGTATAACTGTATGCTCCATCACTGAATTGTTAACGCGAAATTTGGAGCAGTTGCTCTACGCGACCACACATAAAAATGTTTAATCAAATCGTTAAATTATGCAAAATGTTTTAGTTAAAAATAGAAAAATAGTAGTATATTTAGAAGTGTATTTTATATAAGGGTGATATAGAGAAAATATTCGAATATATTTATTTTAATGAATATATAAAAATAAGCTATGGAGACATGTGAATTTTTTCGTGAACTGTTACCAACCGTGATACCATAGTAACTGTTACCAACTGTGATACCATAGTAACTGTTACCAACTGTGATACCATAGTAACTGTTACCAACTGTGATATCATATAGTAACTGTTACCAACTGTGATACCATAGTAACTGTTACCAACCGTGATACCATAGTAACTGTTACTAACTGTGATACCATAGTAACAGTTACCAACTGTGATACCATAGTACAGTCCGACGCAAAAGGTTAGCCCTACCCCTTTAAAACATCATAACACATCGAGTTTTGCCAGTTTTATTGTGCAAATGGTGGCAAACGAATCGTCTTGGTCTCAGTAATCAAAATACAATAGACTGCTGTGAAAATGTAATTAGTAACGGAGAAAATGAAAACACATGTTTTTGCACCGACGCAAAAGGTTAGCCCCACTTTGTACACTTTGACATTTTAGGCAAAACAAAACATACGTCAGCTGCAAAACTAAAAATTACTGACCGATATGCTTCCCGTTGGCTTCTCTTAACTTGAAAATGAATGTTGCTACATTCGAAACGTCGTTAATATATTATTATTTGCTAAATCTGCTTTTTGATCTACCAACGTCATCTAAGAATTGTTCAACTCCTTGAAAATTCAAATGCACTCTCTGGTCATAAATTGTACGCATATAATCAAGAAATTTCTGCCATCTTATAATAATTTCTGCACCCGTTGGCTTTGTAGACATACAAGCACCGCTTTGTCATGCCCTGAGACAATCTACGGAGGTAGTTGGGGTCCAGGGGCCATAGTACTTTCAAAACTCGCTAAGTGAACGTAAGTACTAACGCTCTATTTTCTTATCTATGATTGGTGGATTTTGTTTGAAAGGCCGTCAATGATTGGCTGATGAACTTACGATCTCTTAACTTTTTTGGGCCCAGATTGGACCGGGCGGCTTGAATGGCCAACTCGAGTTCTTCCTTCGTGTCATACTGCTTTCCGCGGGCGTAGACGATCCCAGCCATGTACCCCCAGACGTTCTCAATGGGATTCAGATCGGGGGACTTGGCTGGCCAGTTCATAACCCGGATTTTGGCACGCTTGAAGAAGGCATTGGTCGTGCGCGCCGTATGGATTGAGGCATTATCTTGTTGGAAGATGGCGCCGCGGCGAATTTGGTGGCGGATGACGGGAAGTTGATGATCCTCGAGCGTTTGGACATAGTTGTCCGCGCACTGGTTGCCTTCGAGGAAGACGAGCTCACTGTGATACCATAGTAACTGTTACCAACAGTGATACCATAGTAACTGTTACCAACTGTGATACCATTTTAACTGTTACCAACTGCGATACCATAGTAACTGTTACCAACTGTGATACCATAGTAACTGTTACAACTGTGATACCATAGTAACTGTTACCAGCTGTGATACCATAGTAACTGTTACCAACTGTGCTACCATAGTAACTGTTACCAACTGTGATACCATCGAAACTCGATATAATTTATGTTACTATAGTGTTTTAATATTATGATACCACAATTATCTCAAACCATTAGAGATACCTAATACCATTTGTGATACCACAATTACCGGACACCAATATTGATACCATAGATACCTGTTACTATTTCTGATAGGTAGATACCGCCACAACACGCGTACGTGAGTGCCGGACTCACGTACAACACAACACGTACAAAACGTGCGCCGAACGTGATGCAATGTTATCGCTAGACGACAAACGAAATTTGTACGACCTAAATAGTTCTTTTCATTCAGTGCAAATAGATTGTATAGTGGTGGGAGTAATTTAATGTCTATTGGATCATGTAAAAAATTTATGTACAATCAACGAAGTACCGTATGTATTTATATATGCTCACCAGCTATAGATACTACAAAAAATATACAGCATTGAAGGAGTGCCATTGACAACAAAATATTAATTATTCTTATCATTATTATATTACATAAATAAGAACAAGATTAATAAGAATAATAATTATAATATCAGTAATAACATAATAATAATAATCTAAATAATCGTAGATAAACAAACTACCATCATGACATTCGCCTGACAAATGTAAATGGTCTATGCAAATGAATGGTTCTGGTGCTGTTTTTCAGTACAATTATTTGGTTCTGGTATCAAACCTACATTCACATTCATTTCAGTCAATACCTTTGACTTTTATTCAGAATATTTATTGAATTATCATAGTTTCATTACTTAGTCTTAAATCTTTTATTTAACATGTCATCCACTAATTAGCAGAATGTACTTAATTATCACAATATTCATTATTTAGCAATACCGTATATCCCTTAATTTGGCAGAATATCCAAATACTATTCACTGATTGGCATGATATTCACTGATTGGCATGATATTTACTGATTGGCATGATATTTACTGATTGACATGATATTCACTGATTGACATGATATTCACTGATTGGCATGATATTTACTGATTGGCATGATATTTACTGATTGACATGATATTCACTGATTGGCATGATATTTACTGATTGACATGATATTCACTGATTGGCATGATATTTACTGATTGGCATGATATTTACTGATTGGCATAACATTCACTGATTGGCATAACATTTACTGATTAGCATAACATTTACTGATTGGCATAACATTTACTGATTGGCATAATACTTACTGATTGGCATAATACTTACTGATTGGCATAATATTTACTGATTGGCATAATATTTACTGATTGGCATAATATTTACTGATTGACACAATATTTACTGATTGGCATAATATTTACTGATTGACATAATATTTACTGATTAGCCAGAGTAACAATACTGGCCTAAATTAATGCCTGAGTACCTAATCATAGTTAATGAAATCTTTACTGTCAAATTTGTTAATCAAAATTAAAGTCATATTTTCTTAAACACAGTTTCAATAGCATATATATACTACCATTTTATGATAGAAATAGTCACATAGTAAATATATAAAATATATCTTTATTGCAGTTGTAGGTTACCTATCTCATGGTACTTTATGAAACATCAACACAATTTTTGTAAAGCAAGAAATTTTTGATTATTGGTCTTATTTTCTTAAAAGTCAAAATGATACAAGTTACCCTGTCACTGGTCCAAGTCACCCTGTCAATGATACAAGTTACCCTGTCACTGGTCCAAGTCACCCTGTCAATGGTCCAAGTCACCCTGTCAATGGTCCAAGTCACCCTGTCAATGGTCCAAGTCACTGTCAATGGTCCAAGTTACCCCATCAATGGTCCAAGTCACTATCAAGGGTTCAAGTCACCTTGTCAATGGTCCAAGTCACCCGTCAATGGTCCAAGTCATCAGGCTTTTTCACCAATAACTATAACTCAAGGATTTGTGTTACACTTTTACAGCCTACAAATGATGAATTTCTAGAGAAAACTTTTAGAATGAAATTTTCACTCCAGAAGTCAAAACTTTAGATCATATAAATTTTTGTATATAATTCTAAAATCTAAAATTTTCAAATAAGGTAATCAATTTGAGAATGTAAAAGGAATAGATTGCTAGAATTTTCTACAAAATATCTTGACTTAACCAGGCATCTGATATCAAGCAAATTTGCAAAGAATTTAATTTACAGGTAAATTTCATCAAAGCAACATCTAATGATGGTTTTGATGTTAGGTTGGGTGATGTTTCAATGAAATCCACTCATTCAATATTGATTCACCGTCATTTGCACGGCATGTCATTTTATTGATGTTATTCGTGCAAGAAGAATTTTATGAATCTGAACAACTAAAGAGTCTGGGGATTAATTTTTCTGTAAGTAGGATGACTCCCCAAAAATTATGGGGAAGAATAACAATTTTGAATGTAACTTCAAAATTCATCATTAACTCTTGGAAATAGAAGTACAAGCATAAAAATATGTTAAATTAATCTTCACATATTTCAATCCCCATCAAATTTGTGAAAGGCTTTTATACAAATTTTATAAAAAAAATCTACCTGTATGTTTTTTTCAAACTTGGATGAAATATTTAACATGTTTTGAGCTTGTAGCAGAAGTATATAAGGCAAATAATGACCTGAAAATGTACATGCCATTTCAGGCGAGATCATAAAAAATCATAAAAGTTTGCTTACAGGCAATCAGGGCCTGGATTCATGAGGGCAATCCTTAATCAACCAATTCATGATGATTTTATATACCGTAACTGATCACCTCAAAAGACTTCTTGTAAAATGTAGATGCAGTACCCAGTACCGGTACATGCAGTACTGGTATGTGTTTTCAAGCAATACAGAACTATGAGCAGTAATTTACGAATGTATACATATGGAAAATTGGATTGTGAAAGCTAAAACAAAACCTGCTTTGAATATCTTTGGCAAAATTTTGGGTCTGCAATTCTGCATATATCAACCAGTGTTGAATTCTAGCAAGTATTATATTAACCAGTAAACATAGCATATTTTAAAGGCCAGCACACAACCAATCACAATCTGGATTGGATGACATCACAATCCCATAACAAATGATGGAAACTTTAGGCACTTTTAATATATTTTTGATGCACTAAGGTATTGCAGAATTCCACACTGGATGTAACAGTTTACAAAAAGATAATAAATGCAAAATGCATTACTAAAGAGTTTCTAGAATTTACGATTTTTGTCAATGCTACATAACTTGCCATTCAGCTGATACCATCAACTGGGGTGACTTTGGCCACTGGTGGTTTGGCACCTGGGGGTGATTTCGGCCACACCTACAACAGAAATAAATGGCAGCAAAACAAAATAATAAATGTTGGCCAAAGTCACCCAGGTGGCCAAAGTCATCCCAGTCACTTTGGCCAACATTTACTTTTTTGTTTTGCTGCCATTTGTTTCTGTTGTAGGTGTGGCCGAAGTCACCCCAGTTGAGGGTACTGCACTTTCCTGGCCATTTGATGCTAAAATATATTACAGGTCAAAACTACAATTTATAGGGTTTGACATCTCTATACATGATGATAATTGATAACAAAACTTTTTGATTAGTCTGGCAATTTGTGGTTCAGTTTTTTTCAGAAATATATCATTTATTTAATAAAATAGGCTGACAACTCGAGAGTTGTGGTGGCATTGGCATTTGGCAGCATTGAATTTTATGGTATTTGCTAGTCAGAAGGCAAATAAATTATCAAGTTTTTTTTAAATGTTTACAATTAATTTATATGAATAAATTAGAAGGTATATGCATTATGCAAGCTTATATACATTAAGATGGACAAGTGTAAGAAAACTTTATCTCTGACAAAATTTTTAATTTTCATCAATGATTAATGCCCATTGCCCATACTGTACAGAGAGAGTGTACAGTGTACACTATAGAATATAGACTGAGAGACCCACCTGCATGTGGGTGGTAATTTTGGTATGGCTTACAGAAATATTTAAATTCCAAACAAGTTGCCACTGCCCACTAGGGAGTAGCCGAGTAGGGACTAGGTAGATATACTACTAATACTAGCCTATATATAGTTGCAAACCAGAGCTTTTTTAGAATCAGTTCATTTTTAATTTCCTCATTTACTCAAGATTTAAGCCAATTTCTCAAGTACCGTACTGGTATGATAATGCTGGTATCCATGATACTTTACTGGTTTACTTATAGGACTCAAAAGTGAACTTGAGGCAGAGTCTAAAAAACTCTCTGCTTTGTCACTATGCTGAGTGAGTACTATATACTGTACTGCATTTAACTTGCCACTCACACTCATCAATAAAAACTTCATACAAGCTCTGACATAAATGCATCAGTCAGAAATTATTGCAATAATATTAATTTCTGTGATCATTCTGTGAACTTTAGATCATTGACATTTAGACTTATCAGGTTCAGGAGACAATTTTGTAAAGACAGTTGATGAAATTTTGACTTTGCATAATACATTGAATCTACTATTAGCGTATTAGAAGCTTGACATAAGAACAGTATATACACGCAAACTTCTGCATCTCTCAGACGTGAAATGTCCTCAGAGGCGCCGCCGCGCCGGTCCGAAAGTTAATCAGGAGCAGATCATTTTTGTAGCATCCAACTTCAAAGTTAGATTGTGGGCATTAGGCAAGCCTACGTCAGGGTCAAAAAAATGTAAAATAACGAAGAAACCTTTATTTTTATATGCCAGGCACCCTGTTAGATAATCACTGAGGTAAGAAACATAAGATAGGCTGCATAAAAAAACTCAGTTATTCATAGCACTGCATTTTTTCTCACCGAGTGAGCGAATCTCACATCGTCTTGCACGACTCACAACAAGAGAAGCAACGACCTCTCCCCTCAAAGGCAACCCGCACACTGGATGTTTTTTAGTGACAAATGTTTCCTTGAGATAGCGATAGGCACCCGCAGCATCTGCTGCCGTTATCAATGCACAAGAAAATGTGATGCAGCAAACAAAGTACGGC